CCAAAGTCAAAATCTTGTTCTGAGTTATACAAGTCTAATTGATATGGGGTGAAGTTAATTCGTTTTACAGTTTCTATTGGAACTTCAATTGTTTGTTCAGCGATAGTAATTTTAAACATTTCGGGTTTCAATTAGATATTAATTTCTTCTATGTTTTCAGGAAATTCTCGATATAAGTCCTTTAATTTTTGTTGTAAGTTTTGCAAAAATGCCATCGTTTTTCTTGAGAAATTTTAAGGAATAGGCCTTGTATTTATAATTTTTCTAAATGATCATCAGTAATTATTTTGTACTGCCTTACATCCTTATTTGATTACAATGCTACATTGTTAATTTCTTTGTTTGTAGTGCTTAATTAAAGATGTGTTAATTGGTGAACTTAATTTATCAGGATCTATTTTATCTCTGAGTATTACAGTTTTGTCACCAATTTTTCTATGGATATAATAGGGTCCTGTCCATCGTTGAGTAAATTTATCACCATGGACATTTTGTTTGACAACACCATATAATATTACTAAATCTCCTTCCTTAAAGGTAGAAGCTTTCTCAATCCTTTTGGAACGTTCCTCTTGTACTTGTTGAACTGTTTCAATGTTATCCTTGACAAGTATTAATGCATCGATAAATGTTCCTACTATTTGGGCAATGCATCTATTTAAAGCTTCTTCATAAGGAACTTCTACAAATTCTTCTCTTGATAATTCTAGGTACAAGGGTAATTGAGCTTCTTTCCCATGCAATAAATAAAAGAGACTAAACTTTGTAGTAGAATGTTTCAGGGTATGGTAAGTAAATAGGACTGAGGGAATTAGATCATCCCAATCTTCAGTAACAGAGTTTACACATTTTTCAAGTGAACGACATAATGTTTTATTGAATCTTTCAGTTAGGCCATTTGTTTGCGGATGATATGGTGCAGCGAGTTTATGTTTGAAGCCAACTTCTTCTTTTAATAATCCCACCACCCTCCCGAGGAATGCCTTTTCACGATCGGATATTATACTGGAGGGGACTCCATGTTGACATATTATTTCCTCATAAAGAAAATTGGCTACTTCTTTTGCAGTTGCATTAGTCACTGGTTTCGCTTCAGGCCACTTGGTTAAATAATCTGTTGCTACTATTATGTATTTATTTCCTTTACTAGATACTTTTAATGGTCCTACAAAGTCTATTCCTATTTGGTCAAAAGGTCTTGTTACTTTAATAGGAATTATTGTTTGGTCCTTATTTGGTTTTCCGGTTTGTTGACATACGTCACATGATTCGATATAATATTTTACATCCTCTGTCAAGTTTGGCCAATAATATTTTTCTTTGATATTTTCTATAGTTTTTTTTAATTCCAAAATGTCCTTCTAATAAGGACGAATGATAATTATATAATAATTTATCCTTATCCTGCAAGGATATTACTCTAAGAGGAATATTTAAATTATGTCTATTTTTCCTAAATAATATGCCATTTTTTTCTAAATAATTATTTGCGATTTTTGCTAAGTGTCGTTGTTATTCATTAGTGTAGTTAAGTGGATATTCATATTTTTTTAAGTAGTTAACCAAATTGTGATACATTGTTGTATCCATAATTTTTATTCTAATTTAATTTATTAATATAAAAAGGTCAATAAACTATCTACAGGGTTTGTTTCTAACCTCGATAATGCATCAGCGTTGGTATGACTACTTTCTTTCCTGCAAATTATAGTATAGGGTTCATACTCTGAGAGGTGAATAATCCAGCGAGCTAACCTTCCTTTAAAGTTTTTGTATTTCTTTAACCAGGGAATAGCTTCATGATCGATAACTACAGAAAATGACGATCCTTGCAAAAAGGTATGGAAATGTTTAGTGGCCCAAATCACAGCTAAACATTCCTTCTCAGTAACAATATAATGTGTCTCTGCTGGAGACAAAACTCGGCTGGCATAGACAATAACTCTTTCATGTCCCTTTTCATCCTTTTGTGCTAGTACAGTACCAATAGCATAATTAGAAGCATCGATATTAAGATAAAAATGTTCATTGAAATTAGGATACACTACAATCGGTTGAGTTGTCAAACAATTTTTCAAGTACTCATAGGCATTTTCATGGTCCTTGGTCCAGCTGAAGACTTCGTCTTGTTTTGTCAAATTATACAAAGGTCTGGCAATTGCTGAAAAGTTTTTAATAAATCGTCTATAATAAGAGGCAAGTCCTAGAAATGATCTGACTTTAGTTTTTGTAGTTGGTCTCGGACAATTTTTAATCTTTTCCACAAGAGCGGGATTTGGTTGGATTCCTTCTTTTGATATTATATGTCCAAGGAATAATATTTGTTTTTGGTAGAAATCACATTTATCGGAATTAAGTTTTAATCCAGCCTTCGATAATAATTGAAATATCTTTTCCAAATGAATTTTATAATCTTCACTGGTTTTTGAGAATATAATAATATCATCCATATAAACAAGGGTGAACTTGAAAAGTACTTCATAAAAGACATTGTTCATTAATCGTTGAAATGTTGCAAGAGCATTCATCAAACCGAAGGACATTGCTGTGAACTCATAAGTTTCAAATCTAGTACAGAAGGCAGTTTTTTCTTGATCTGTAGGGTCCATTGTTACTTGCTAAAATCCTGAAGTCAAGTCGAGGGTTGAGAAATAAGTACAGTTGGCCAAAGCATTCAACATATCAGAAATTTTTGGCAAGGGATAAGTATCAGGTTTTGTAACCTTATTCAATTTCCGATAGTCTACTACCAGTCGTAATTTTCCATTTGCTTTTCCTACAACTAAAGCAGGTGAAGTCCAAGGACTTTTGAAGGAAACTATTAATCCTTGATTTTTCATGCGATCTATTTCTTCCTTTAAGAATTGACTATGATAGGGTGATAAACTATAAGGGTATTGTCTAATCAGTTGAGCTAATTGGGTATCAATATGATACTGAATTTCACTTGTTCATCCTAATTCAGTAATATCTCTGGTGATTATTTGAGGATATAGTTCTAATAATTGTTCAACATCATTTTTATGTTCGTTAAAAGCTAATCTTTCAGATCCTCCCATAACCAAATTAGCTTGTGCGGATCGGATATCTTGAATGGAAATTACTTGTAAGGTACACCATCTGTTGTAATCCTCTTCACATTGTTTGCATTCATCTTCTTTTATAATTAACTTTATATTACACCAACAGGATTTATCTGGTCCTTTAAACCAATGTTTATAGGTGTGTCGATATTTTTGGTCTTTTAACCAAGGATTAAATTTTTCATTCATAAATTGATATTCCTCCCAGGAGAAGGTATCATGATCAATCTCTATTCCCCAAGGGTCAAAGCGGTAGTAATAGTTGTCTGGACTTTCTTCTTCAGTTACAATTAAACTTAAGGCATTAAGTCCTAAGTCATCCTCTTTATCAGAAGAGTCATCATCATCATCTTCATCTGATTCTTCTTCCTCTTCCTCTTCTATTTGAGTAGGCACATTGTCAGAAGAGTTTTTGCAATCAATTACTACAGTTCGTTTATGGTCATTTATAGTTAATCTTGGAGGGCTGTACTCAATTTTTGCATGAGCCTTTTGTAACCAGTCATTTCCTAATACCATAGTATAGGCACGAGTATCAATGACTTCCATGTCAGTGGAGATAATAACATCTCCTAAATGTACAGGGATATCGTTTATAATTCCCAAGCTTCCTTTGGGATCTCCATGTATGCCAGTAATAGTTCGGGTGGAGAGTCTATCAGGTTGTCAGTTAATATGGTCAGCAAAAGCCTTTGAAATTATACTGATAGAAGATCCACTATCAATAATTATGTCTATAGTCCAAGAGGACACTTGACCTTTGCACATCATAGGGGTATGAGAAGATGCTACTCCTATAATCATGTCTTTATCTTTTCCTTTGTCCTTTCCTTTCTTGACTGATCGTCTTTTAGGAGTTAAGGCTTTCTTTAACTCTTTTCTATATTGAGGTAGATTTAATAGTTGCGCCACAGTTATATTTGTCTTTAGATGCATTAAGTCAGAAACAATTGAGTACGGCATTGTTTCTCTTTCAATTTGAGGTTTCTGCGAAGAAGATACTCTTTTCTTTTTACTTTTCTTTTCAAGGGGATTCCCAGTTATTTTAGCTTCTTTCCTTTTATTGTTTTGAACTGGTGGTATGAATACACCTGTTACTTCTCTTTCAGTGGGAGTTCTTAATGGATGTGAGGTAGACTGTTGCGGTGGTAACTGATTCTGCAGGATAGTATTTTGGTTCTGTTACTGGAGTTGATTTTGATATTGCTATTGTTGCTGCTGTTGTTGTAACCATCTCTTTTCTTCTTCAGATATAAATGAAGGATTTGAATTATTAAATGTACTCCCATTTTCTAAGGGTGCGTATTCTCGTTTAAATGCTGTACGGGATATACTTGTGCTTGTGGCATTTGTTGTGGAATATTTCCGGTAGCTACAAATACATTTCCTCCTGTATTATTCTGTTGTTGAGGAACATTATTATTTTGGGGAATCATTTGTTGTTGAGGCGGTGGTTGATACTGCGGTATCTGGAATACTTGAGGTTGTTGCTGTTGCACTTGCAGCTGATTCACCATTGGTTGCAAGGGAATTTGTTGAGCAAATGCTTGCACTGTTGGTTGCGGAGGAGGGTTTCCCATATTATTTACTGGTAACTGTTGATTTGTAGGACAATTCCTAGCGATGTGTCCTGGTTGTCTACATTTGTAACAGGTTGCGGGATCTCTAGGTTGTCTAGGTCTCTGTGGATTCATGTTTTGATAACTACTATTATTGTTAACATTATTTTGAGGCATGTTCTGATTTAAATTAAGGTTTCCCAAGGCTTGTAATATAGCTATTACAAAGTCATTTGTAATTGCATTTTGACTTGGAGGTAATTGCATTTGGTGATTATTTTTAATATTCGGCTGATACGAATTCATTTGGGGAGCAATAGTGTTTTGATTGTAAAATCCCACAAGAGTTTCAGGATATAATCTTCCATGGTTTTCCATTTGACTTGCAGCTTTAATTACTTGCTTAAAGGTTGCATTAGGTTGGAAAGTTAGTTGGGATGCAACTTGCGTGGCGATTTCTCTTCTTAACCCCTTAGTGAAATGAAAAACTTTCTCAGATTCAAGCATATTTCCACCTGTATCTGCTTTCTTTATTAATTTTCTAATGATTTGTGCATATTGATGAATGGTTTCGTGAGGTTGTTGTAATTTATTATTTAGTTCCATTCTCCATTGTAATAATTTACCAGGATTCCTAAAACGAGTTAGGAAAGCTTGAGTAAAATTTCGACCTGCTGGATTTTGTCAGGTTTGGAAAGCTATAGCAGCATTACTATCAAGTTCTTCGAATCAAGTTTGGACTTTGTTCATTAGATATCCACTAACACTATTTAATTTGTCAGCATTCCCATATCTATTTATATCAGCACAACGATTAAATTCTTCTAGCCATTCTACAGGGTCTTGATTTCCTCCTGTAAACGTAGGCAAGGGAACTATATTACGGAGACTTTGTTGGTCAACTATTCTATTTAAATAGTTAAAGAGTTAATTCATATTCTGCTGGTTATTCATTGCGTCTAGTTCTTCTTGATTGTCGTCTGAGTTAGTATCGGGAGGAGCGTTTAAGTTTTGAAGATTATTTAGTCGATCTAAGTTTATTGTAAATCTCTGGGTAAAAGTTAAACAGTTTGCAAGAAAGGGTACAAGAAAATTTC